AGACCCCCTGTTCCCCCTCTACAACCCAAAACCCTTAAAAAAATTTTATGAAAAAATTTTTTTTATGACTCATAAATATTGTACAGTACAGTACATAAGTATATTGTCTTACAGTACAATATTTATGAGTCATAAAAATTTTTTTTTCATAAATTTTTTTTAAGGGTTTTGGGTTGTAGAGGGGGAACAGGGGGTCTAGTTTAAGTCATGGCCACACGACGTCTTTACTTGTGCTAGGACACAGAAAGCAAATATTAATCACGTGGTTTCTAGTTTTTATTTGTTCTGCTGTTCTTCTTATTGAAATGAGTCAGTTTTATTTCGCTTAAGGTTGTTTAATGTTAATAATTTCATAAAGTTAGAATATGGATAAATCTCTATAACAACAATTCTTATAGCCTCTACATACAAATTTATTTTCAGTGTATAAGAGTTGCACAAATACATTTGTACATAAGAAACAAGTTCGAGAAAACACACTTTCTTTTAAATAAGTAGAAATAGCACATGTTAAAAAAAAAAGTAAATTTATTGGTATCTAATATTAAATTAAACGAATTAAGATGAAGTACTGGAATTGGCTTTAGAATATTACAACTTACTAAAACATAGTAAGAAAGAATAAATAAAAAATTTAAGTAAAGAACTTTGATTAACTCACAGATTAATCAAATTTGTAGGAATATGATTTAAACTTAAGCAAATGAAAACAACTAGTCAAATGAATAAATACCCAAATTCTGCTCCATAGTCGGGGTTATATATGCGTCGGAGTTATCTATCCGACCAGTACTGTACAGCAAAGGGGTCTGACACACTCGGATGTGTATTTGTCCGTACATTTTTTGTCAAATTGCTTGTGTAAGTTAATTGCTGTACAGTACTCCGGGTTCATTTCATGATCAATTGTTTGTGCAATTCTCGGCCAATTTGAGTTAAAAAAGCTTCCAAACCTATTCATTTTTAGGTCATTTTACACAATTAAAATAATGATTGCAAATTTTCTGATTTTTTTAAACAAGTTATTTCATTGTCCCAGAAAAAATATCACAGAAATACGTAAGATAATTTTGTTTAGCAAGGGAGATAATTCTGTTATGACTCTTGATTTATTTCATACGCAGTAGCTTCCTTTCTATATAAAAAAAAAACTTTAAAACGTCTCTGTTGTCAGCCATCCTCTATGGACCAGCACTGTACTCATAACGCTGTGATTAGAAAAAAATTAAGTCAAATTATTCAGTTTGGATTCATTTAATTAATTTAAATGAAATAATAAAGTAATAAAAATAATTTGATCATAATTAAACAATGAGAACATCATACACTATTCTATGTATAAGGACCACTCGTTCTGTCTTACAATGACTACAAACAGATTATTCCCCTTTCGTGGCGTCCGCGACTCGTGTCTTACCTGTATAACGGTGTCGCATCGAAAGATACCGACTGTGTTTACACCTGTATATTTGATTGACAAGAAAACTCCGCCTTCCGGGGTAAAAATATTCCGCATTGTCAAAAATAGAGTATAATATTATTATTGCTGACAAAATCAATACAATATAGATATTCTTTTAACTGTGAAATGAAATTTTACTTAAATATACTTTTTCTATTTAGGAATAAAGAGAATTAGTTTCGAACTACTTTTTGTAGTACGACAGACACAGTGGAGTAATTCGGCCCAGCTGTATTTGTGGTTTGTTCATTGATAAATAGAAAGCAAGTCGAATAAGAGTATGCTGGAAGTGTTATTGGATTCAAATTCGAAATAAACCGCGGAATTTTAATATGAAGTGTGTTGTTAGGTAAGGAATGCATAGAAATATTCTGCGTTATGGATTTTATGAATATGTTTTTTATACTCAACGCTGAATTTTAAATGATTTAATTTTCTTACCTGTGCCCTAATTGTCACATAAGGGGAATTAAAGTGGGTGGGGTAATGATCACATTTAAAAGTTTTAGGACGGTCTTGGAGTCAGTTTGGATACATGACAGCTGTATATATTGGATTTTGTGACTTTTTACGGATGTATTAAGACAAAAGGAAATAAATATTTTCTTGGATTATTGTACCTAGAGGATTTTTGGGGCATGGTAACTTTCAAAACTTTGGTGCTCACCTAATGTAACATAATAAGTTATAAAAAAAAAGATAAATAAACATTATCACGATAATTTTCATGATAAAATCACGATAGATTACACGAAAAATGCATAATAAATAAGGCATTCAATCAATTGGTAATTCAGAATGGGGCTATTATAACTATTAAACTGGTTTTGGTGTGCCAGTTTTAGTTGCCCCTTAAATACACACACATTTCATAGGTTCTAGAAGATAATTTGTCTCATTTTACATTATATTTAAAATCATAATTATGTACCTGATAATCTGCTATTTTGTTAAAAAAAATACAGGGTTGAGATAGTATTTTAATAACTATAATACACATAAATTTGTATTTAATGAATTAAATCATTTAAATAGATTTTAAGTATATAGGGACAGTATCCCAATAAAACTTTCAAATATCAGATTTAACTTCTTAATTAGCTATATTATATTGACATAATTTGGCAAATCTTTGAATATGTGTCAGTATAAAGAGAATAAAGTGTCTGTCAAACATAAAATGTTTTGTTTGAAAGTATTTGAATATCTAATTTCAAGCCTGAGGCATTTGCCATTGTTTCAGCTGATGTTGCTAGCTACAGAAATATACATAAATCATACATGTACATGTCATGTTAAACGCACTTTTGTTATCATATGTCTTTATAAGTTAAAATGAGCCGCGTCACGACAAAACCAACATAATGGGTTTGCGACCAGCATGGATCCAGACCAGCCGGCGCATCCATCCAGTCTGATCAGGATCCATGCTGTTCGCTTACAAACCCTATAGCAAGTAGAGAAACTGATAGCGAACAGCATGGATCCTGATCAGACTGCGCGGATGCGCAGGCTGGTCTGGATCCATGCTGGTCGCAAACCTGTTATGTTGGTTTTGTCATGGCACGGCTCAAATGATTTTGGTTAAGGAGTTTCAGGTGTTGAAAATATAACAGGTTCAATAGGTAATTAATAGGGTTGATGATACTAAGGTAAAAAAGAGACTGAAATAATTTTGATGTCACTGTTGAACAGTTAAGGGATAGTAAATGTTGAATAATTTGTCAATTAGGTAGATTTTTCTTTTTATATAGTGGCATTATGCCCATCCAAATGTATATAGTGGGTGAACGAGTGAAGCTCAAAATAAGTTTTCATATTGCCATAAATCCTTTCAATTTAATATTTAAGTTCACATAAACAATAATTGACACACAGATCCAAATGAAATATCTGTAACGATACGTTAGAATTTATCTACAACCCTTACTTTATAAAAAGAGTGGGGCAGTCTTTTTAGATTTTATGCAGATTTATAATTTTCTCCTAAACATTTTCTAATATCAACTATTGGTGAAACACCATTTTGACAGTCAATCTTTTGAAATATAAAGTCAACCCAGCTCAACTTGACTATGAAAATATGAGCATCATGTCACTTTAAATACTTCCTTTGTAATTTGGATCTGTAGGAATATAAGTTGCTTTTTTAAAGTGTATAATTATGAAACTATTTTATTAAAACAATAATTTTATGTAATAAGTTTTCATAACATGTCTTGTTCTTATCATCCATTTTGAATCGATTATTGTTACATTTTCATTTTAAGTTGCATAAATTTATTGAGGTTAGGCATTTAAAGTTGTATATATATCATAGACTATTTTTGAACACATTTATTTGGTTTATATACTATCCAAGTATTAAAGATGATTCTGTTATCTATTAATGTCAAACATGTAGTGGGAGTCATTTTATGTTGATAGGCTTTTTATCTAAACTTTTCTCTTGTTTATGATCATGCTGAAGAAGATAAGTATAATATACTTACTGTAAAATTTTCATCATAGGTAATAAGTTAACTTCAGTAAAGATTTTGACACCATCTCTCCTCAAAATATTTTACAATTTGCTCAATTGATTATTATTTGTTCAGCTCCTGACTGCAATAAAAACTCTGTTAACACTAATCAACTGAATTAAGACTCTGTAAAGCCCCTTTTTTACAGAATATCCAACTTTGTGTCTGTGTTGTAATCATTACAATACTTATCTATGTTTGTTAAGATAATTATCATTTACTGTACAAATAGGAACATAAAATTTGCTTTCATTTATTGGTTTATAGAATAAAGGCTAAAATATTATATTAAGTTGTTTTATTTCCAAATATCTTGAAATTTTACATAGGCTTTATATAGCAATAAAAAGATAATAAATTTTCATTAAAAAAATTGTAAAGTTAATTGATACTTAACCTAACTCGCCTAGACTTACTACCTTAAATAGATGGGAAGTTGTACTGAAAAGCTCAAAGTTTTGTTATGTTTAATATGTATAATCTTTATTCAACATATGTGCTGGTTCAGTTTACCAGACACATTAAATAAGTTGTTTGTGTTTCTGGTTTGTTGAAAGTCGGTTGGTTTTTTTTTGTCATCTTATGTTTCACTTGTATCGAAGTATAAAACATAATGTTTTATAATGCCTTGTGGTTTAAAGATGTCATGAAGTACTGGCCATGAACCTTAAAGATAGTGTCATTAATCCTGTATTTGCATGAAGTGACGGAAAAAATTTGACATGTATAATATTAACCCTTCGCTGGGCATTGCACACGGACATACATGTGTTCTTTCAAGTGGAAACTACTGATACAGATTAAAAGAGGGATTCATTGTTGATAAGCTATACATAATTATAGATCATTTAACTGCATTTTTGATAAAAATCAAGCATTTTCAGTTAGATTCACCCAATTATTTTTAAATATTAAGAGTTTAAAGGATTTGATGTGTATATATATTAATACAGCATATCTATCCTGTCAAAGAAATAAAGACTTTGTACTGAGTATATTTAATTATTTTGGACTTTATGGAAATGTACTTTAAAAGCTTCTCGATTCATATTTCTATTTATTGTTAAAAGATCTTATTCAAGGATTGTCGTTAAATGTAATGATTTAATGCTTTTGTTGGTGGTTAATAGTCCTTAAAACCAAAGTTAGGCTTATGTCTCGCACATTTGATCTGATGTAAATGTAAATTTGAAAACATACAAAACGGTACATGTACGCAATTAAAAAAGAGAAATTAGCTTTCAATTTTATCAACTGTTCCTTCACCAACGACTTTTAATTTCCGTTTTAATAGGTTTTCTCTGGATTCTTTTTGCTTAAGATTATTTCTTATCTATACCATAGAAGAAATATAGCATTGAGGTGAGAAGTTTACCAAATTTATTTATTTAGTTGATCATTTTTTTGTCGGCACTTGTCACTTGTGCTCGCCAGGGGACCTCGGCACAAGCATGATGTTTGTCGATTGTTTGAATATTTAATCAATGGACTAAAATGTCAGATTGCATGTTTTGAAAGTATGTTTACATACATTTTGGTAGATTGTGTTCAGTCAAGTACAGGTTGGAATACAGCTGTGACTGCAGATGATAATGTAAGAAAATTGACCAGGGTCTTAAACTTTTAGACAGAAATTGATTAGAAAATGTTTATACTTGCGTTCCTTATAAACAAATTTAAAGAAACTTTTAGGTGAACTGGGCTTTTATTAAAGGCTTTGTCAACCATTTTCTGTTCTTCTTCCCTGATAAACCATTAAGTGCTGACACAGTCCTGGTATCACTCGAAGAATCCAATAGGTCTTAAACCTAAGACTGGAAGACCCCTTTGTTGAGAGGCAGACATCTGAACCCTTTATGCTCTTCATTACCTTATGAAAATAACTGTCCTGGCAAAGTGCTGACCATTGACCAGTCATACATATCCTTTAATGATATTTACATGACAATTTCTTTTATTTAATAGCTATTCTTAGTTTATGCTAGCATTTAAATTTAGTGGTAATTAATGCAAGTATAAAAATATTTTCACTTTTTTTCTTCTAATTTGGGATTCAAAGCACACAAGATTTACATAATATTCTGAAAATAAAAAAAATGTGTTATAGGGACAGGTGTGTCGGTGATTAAATATTCTGCTAATTTAAATTGATGATTTACTAAATTATCTTTGTAAATGGAAAGTGAATGACTTTGAATGTTGTTTGCCCTAGGGGGGTCAGGTTAACTGCATATGTTTGAAAACCTCATCAGTTATTTGTGACGAGATTTCAATCAGTGTTCGTTAATATTATGTAATAATGTCTGCCTGATTCATAAATTAAACATACGGCACATAAATTTCAACTATTATACATTAATGAAGAATACCAACTAGTATTATGGGCAGTAAATTTTGTAAGGACTTTTTATTAATTAATGTACGGATACAAAAACCATTTGTATTATAATGTAAAGAATGGATGTGAAAAGAGAATGATTTTATAATGTTCTGACAGGATATTTTTTTGGAGGAGGGGGAAATGCTGACAATAAGTATTACAATAATCGGATATACAAGTATGTTATTTGCATTCTATTTTACCATGCACCATTTATGTGCATTTCGTGCACACCTAAGACATATCTGGTTAGTGTAAAGGGATATTTTCATTGTCTGCTTGGGTCTCCTTATCAAATTTGTTGCTGCTTAGTTTCTCCTATATGTTTATTTTGGTTGCTACAAATGGACAAAAACCCACATGGTTGATAATTTCTCTTTTGATATCTTTATATTATGATAGTAATTGTTCCAATATTATCAGACAGAACAGTAATTGTTTTCTTGCATGCTTTGGAAATGCAACATTATTTTTGTTACATTAATTTATTTTTATTCATTTTCATTTTGTCCTGCTTTAAAATTTGGAAATCTTTACTATTGTTACTTACTTTTTAGAGGATTTCAATGTAATTGTAACACGTGGAACAGCCAATAATAGCACGTGTAAAAGTTCGGACAGTCTGTTTGGAATTGCTGGTTATAGTGTTTAGGTCAGGTACAATTTTATCGCCACCTTAAGGCTTTAATGTTTGTAAAAAAAACCCAAATCTTATTATTTAAACTGGTGAAGCAGTTTGCGGAATGCATCTCTAAGTAACATGTTGTATGACTTTATCTAATAAATCATACGAAGAATCCAGAAGAGACAAAAAAATATTGTTTTATATCTTATATAATGAGAGTAATGGTTCTTGGCAAGCAATTCTTGAATTATAGAGAACCTGTCATGTCTGAATGACACCATGTTACGACCTGTGTCTAACAGCAAGCTTGAACTTTCATTTCTCTGTAGTAAAGTGATGCAAGAGGGCAAAAACCAAACAGAAAATGATCAAAAAGTGTATTGACATTGCTAATAAAATACACTATGGTATTGTAGTATTTTATTAATGGTTTGTCTGCTATGATGGTGTTTAATCTGAGAAAATGTGCAAGTTTCCCCCTGAATAACATCAATATCCCCACCACTTGTGATTGGTCTGTGTCTAATTCTTCTGTAAAGTGTTGCAATAGTCCTCCATTATTACATTGGCTTCATGAGATTAACTACGTAATGCGTTTTCGACCAGCATGAATCCAGACCCGTGAGCCTGCGCATCGGCGCTGTCTGATCAGGATCCATGCTGTTCGCTCTCAGTTTCTCTACTTGTAAAAGGGTTTGTAAGCGAACAGCACAGATCCTGATCAGACTGCACGGATGCGCAGGCTGGTCTGGATCCATGCTGGTCGCAAACGCATTACGTTGGTTTTGTCGTGACGCGGCTCATATCTTTATTCTTATCCAGTATGTACTAACTACACTTGAAAATATTTACATTCCAGACCCCTCTACAAAATGTATTATAGATTGTTTTGGGATTGACTTTTGGGGTTAGATTTTAAACAATTTTTGTTTTGTTTAAGATTTTGTCCTTTTCATTTACATGATTTATTTTTGTAAAGTCTTTATGTAGGTAAAAGTTTTGTCCCCAAAAGTTTTTCGGTACATGTCTGTTGTCAAAAAAAGTGTTTTTGTTTAGTTTTTGACTTTTTGTCTGGCTAAATTGATTATCAAGTTGTTTGATAAATATTTTTCTTTGTGTCAAATTAGTGAAAAGAAAACTAGTGAGAAAACTGAATGACTTAGAGAGATAAGCTACGTACTATTTAGAATAAGATAAAAGTTACTGTACAAAAATACCATTAAGATAATCATTGTATAAGAAGACTTAAGAGTGTAATTGTACAGTTATCTTGATCATTAAGAGAATAAACAATACAGGTTGGGTTTTTCTTTCATTATTTCATTGTGATGTGTGGGAATCCCAAGCCCCCCTCTCCACCCCATTTTAAGGAATAAAAAGGCAAATTGTCAGAGCAACAATGTGTTTATAGATCTGAGTGATATAACAATAAATGTGCCTGAAAATGTTGTTATTGTGTAATAATGTTTATTGTGATTTTTTATTTTTATTTATTTATTTTTTTAGGAGATGAGCCATGCTGCCGAAGTCGAGCACTGGAGTCCTGTTGCCAAGGACAACATGGACAAAATGGCTGATATGGCTCACAACATTCTCTATAGCAACGGTTGCTGTGTCAACAGAAGATTCCTTCAGTTTGACAAGCCTTCACTTCACACAGGATCAGTACAATGTGACAATACCGGAAAATTCTCTCGGAAAGACATTCGTAACTCCAGCTTCGAAGATGGGGATTTATGTACCTGAAAATATTCCGGTTAAAATATCATACCAGATTCTTAATTCAGAAGAGGACCTTTTTAAAGTTGAGGATCACTTGGTTGGAAATTTTAATTTTCTTCTAATCCGAACACATTCCGGGAGTTATGGGAGAATTAATCGTGAGCTTACGTCGGAGTACCGTCTTCAGATTAAAGCTATCGCCCAAAGCAAAGGTGTGTCTTATGAGACCACAACAAATATTATAGTGTATGTTTCAGATGTGAATGATCTTCAACCTTTGTTTGATTTAGATTTTTACAATGTTAGCGTACGTGAAGACACACTATTACATACAAGCATTGCACGTGTGTCTGCATATGACGGGGATGAGGGCATCAATGCACAAATATATTACAGTTTTGTCCAAAGGACCAATGTTTTTGCCATTCATCCAACAAGTGGTGTAATATCATTAACGAGACCACTTGACTTCCACCTTCAAAAGGTGTATAATATTGACATGTTAGCACAAGATCGCGGCCCTGTGCCCGCCAAGCCTTATAGAAAGAGACCAACTACATTACAAATTCATGTATTAGAAGTAAATTATTTTCCCCCAGACATATCAATTAAAAAGTTGCCAAATTTGTTTGAGCCAGGACAAGAGGAAATAATATTAGCTATTGTGAATGTAAAAGACAAAGATAAGGGAAATAATGGGAAAATTGGGGCTGTTGAAATTGTTAAAGGTAGTTTGGATGGGGCTATTTCGCTACAAAAGGGAGAACAGGATGGAGAGTACAGGGTTATACTTAAACCATCCCAGAAAACATCTGTGCCAACACCAGGATTTAATGTGACCTTGAAAGCTGAAGACAAAGGTCAGCCTTCATTATCGGCCAATGAAACATTTTATGTAAGTGTGTTTGACACAAGAACTATTCCAAAGTTTTCTAAGTCAATTTATAATGTTACCGTGGAAGAGATAGCCCCAATAAATACCCCAGTAACATTTGTAACGTCAGAGCTGTCAACCAGTAACTTTGACGTTAGATATGAAATTGTATCGGGTAATAATGACAATTTGTTCAAAATTAACCAAATATCAGGCCTAGTATCTACCTCAGCACAAATCAATGCCGAAAAAGTCACAAATGTAAAGCTCAAAATAATAGCATATGATGCAGTCAATACACATCATGCTAACAGTGACTCTTGCATTGTCAATATATCTGTGATAGATAATAATGACAACGCACCGGAATTTGATATCACTGATAATGTGTCGGAGATATATATCCAAGAAAACCTGCCGGTAGGTTCGAGTATTTTTAAAATCAGTGCCATCGATAGAGACAAAAAAGAAAACGGTAAAATCAGCTTTTCTATAACTAACAGCCGTCATGTGCCATTTGAAATTGAGCCATTCACTGGTGTTCTAAAAACAACAGAACTACTTGATTATGAAACCATGAGGTTAACATATAAATTGAATATAAGGGTATCTGATTGGGGTACCCCGTATCCACGAGAGAATGAGATGATTTTCACAATTAATCTACAAGATGTCAATGACAATACCCCTCAGTTTGAGAAAAAAGATTGTTCGGGATACATTTCGCGCGATGCTCCGATAAACACGGAAATAATCATAGTTGCTGCTATAGATTTCGATGTTAACGATATAATACAATATAGAATAATTGGCGGAAATGGTGATAACTGTTTTGCATTGCATCGTGAATCTGCCAGAGTCTTTCTGAACTGTTCACTCAGGGAAATGCCAGATGAAAAGCGGTACTTGCGTATAGTAGCTCATGATGGGATTCATGAATCTTCGCCCGTTGACGTTGAAATGACCCTGGTGAATTCAAAACAAAGCTCACAGCTTTCAAACAGCCTTGCCAACATACAGTGTCAAAAAACTGATATATTTCAAAAGTTGCAAGATCTTGTGATTCGATCAAGGGAAGCCAACTCTCAAACAAATCACGGATTTCCAGAAAGTACCAAGGTTGAACCAGTCAACAACCCCCCTGAATTTAATGACACCATCCCAACTAACTTGGAAGTTTCTGAAGGATTGGCAGTAGGAACAGTTCTTGCCAAAGTTGAAGCTATTGATGTTGACCGAGGATACAACGGAAAACTTGTGTATGTCATAAAGTCAGGAGATATTGCAGGACATTTTAAAATTGACATGTATACTGGAAAGTTAACCATAATGTCAAAACTCGATAGGGAAATTAGAGATGAATACAATTTACTAATTGAAGTTTCTGATCTTGGTCAACCTTCTCTGTCATCAAATATTTCTATTTCTGTTAAAGTCCTAGATGAAAATGATAATGCGCCAAAGTTTGAGCAGGAAGTTTACTCGGCAACAATATCAGAAAACATCAATAGAAATGCAACTGTCACCCAAGTTTCAGCCACAGATCAAGATCTTGGAAAAAATGCTAAAATAACGTACACAATCGTTTCAGACACTGATCATTTTGCAGTTAATCCAAGAAACGGAATGATTGTTGTAAACAAGCCGCTGGACCGTGAGAGGCATCCAGTTTATACTGTTCTGGTTCGAGCCTCCGATAAAGGTGAGGACCAGATTAGTTTAAGTTCAACAGCAACTGTTCTGGTAGAGTTGACCGATATTAATGATGTTGTTCCTGAATTTACGCCTGATATCTATAGCGTCAGAATCCGAGAGGATTTGCCGATTGGAGCTGTTGTCACCGTTGTCACAGCTGCGGATACCGACGAGGGTAAAAACGGGGAAGTTCAGTACCAGCTTGTGTATGGGGAAAATTTCTTTGAAATTGATTCCAGTACTGGTGTGATCAGGATTATCAAACGCTTGGATTATGAGACCCAACAGGTTCACAATATCAGTGTACGTGCACAAGATGGAGGTGTACCATCGCTGATATCGGTGTGTTTTATAAATATTGAAGTAGTGGATGTAAATGAAAACCTATTAGCTCCAGTGTTTGAAAATTTCTTTGCATACGGATATGTTAGTGAGAATGAGCCAGTGGGTACGACAGTAATGTTTGTAAAAGCATATGATCCTGATGGTGATGGCGTAACTTACTCAATACGAGATGGTTCCGGTCTTGGAAGGTTCACAATTGACTCTAATGGTAAGTATATTGTTCTTTACATACAAGCTTTGTTTCAGTTAATACTGTTGACTTATCTAGATCTAAATCATACTTTAATGATTCAGTGGTCAATGCTTTAAGGTCAAGCTAGTTCACAAAATATATCCAATTTCATAATTACAGAGTATGTTCACAGCTGTTAGATTTATAACCTTTTCAAAAAGAAAGTTTGTCGAAAAGGGAAAGAAAAGAAGTATATGGGGGGTCGAAATTAGAAATAAGGACATAGAACTGTAAATGCGGTTAATCTTATAATACAGGCCTTGTGTGTTTTTCAGACTGAATTATTTATAAGCTTTTTTGGTTGGGTATATTATATGACTATTTATAAGCCTTGTTTACACGCTATGATACCGACTTAAAATTACAAATTTTCTCATTGAGTCCATCGTGAAAAGGACGCTTCTTACACTGTTTGAATTCGTCCAAAATGTTGAAAATAATGACTTCAATATCGGAAAGGATTTAATTTCGGTTTAATAAATCACAAAAGCAAACGTCCTGTTGATGATCGGATAATGTTAGAACATACTAAATAGATAATTGCATACATGATTGACCGATTAATGTTACAAGGTCGTTGTCAGTTTTTTTTAAAGTAAATGAAGTTGTGTTGTCCAATGTATTTTTACGATTAACTGATAATTGGAAGAAAGGTTTTTGATAAAGTTTTCGAGTTGAATGAGCGTTCAAGTATAAGATTATCGGGAAAAAATAAAGTCTTTAAGAAGGACAAGTGGTGTTCTGAACAAGTGACTAAAACTTAATACCTGTTACCGCAATGACAGTACTTTGCTTGAATAATAGTTACAATAATTTAAAACAAATTTAAACTTGAATATTGAAAATAATTTCTAAAAGACTGGTAATGTGGAGAGGTTAATAATGGGTCACTAAGTTACTGAGGGTTTGGGTTGAAAATTTTCCTTCAAAAATATGCTATGACTGAAAATTTATAAGAATTTAAAGGTGTGTTATAAAGAATAAATATGTAAGAATGTCATGTTAAGCTTTCATCAAATTATTGAAATGGTATAAGAAAATTTTATATTTTCATCAATTTGCCTATAACTTTGATATCATATCGACCTTATTACAGTGCTGTTATCAATTTGACTGAATGAAAAAATTAATATTGCTGTGCACAAAGTTTTCTGCATCGCCATTTTACCGGATGTTAATATATATAATTATAAATGCATTGCCAAATCCTTTGGTTTACAAGTGCTTCCTTAAAAAAAAAAGATGGGCTTGTGGTCAAATACCGATTTATTTAAAAATCTTGTCTATCTCTCTACCCATGTTTGTGTGAGGTTTGTGAAATGACACCCCCTTATTTGTTTTCCTGTCATGTTTTGGTTCTGATTTATCTGGGGATCTACCATTTCATTCAGAAAGATTGTTCATTCAACCTTTTTAAAAGTTGGTGAATCACCAAACTTTAATGATTGCGATCGTTTCTTAATAAATGAAAACAAGTCCATACGCGAAAATTAAATACCTTTAAGTATAATTATGCCCCCGCCATGTAATGGCCGGGGCATATAGTGTTACCCTGTTCCGTCCTTCCGTCATTCCGTCCTTCCGTCCTTCCGTCATTCCGTCCTTCCGTCATTCTGTCATTCCGTCATCATCAGTTTCCGTTCATTATCTTAGTAACGGTTGCACATATTCAACTCAAATTTGACATATGGATATGTCATGAGAAAATACAGGTCAAGTTCGAATTTGGTCATGGTTCGATGATTTTTGGCAGAGTTATGCCCCTTTTACTTTGAAAATAATATGAAATTTTCAGTTTCCGTTCATTATCTCCCCAACGGTACAACACATTCAACTCAAATTTGACATATGGATATGTCATGAGAAAATACAGGTCAAGTTTGAATTTGGTCATGGTTCGATGATTTTTGGTAGAGTTATGCTCCTTTTACTTTGAAAATAATATGAAATTTTCAGTTTCCGTTCATTATCTCCCCAACGGTACAACTCATTCAACTCAAATTTTACATATGGATATGTCATGAGAAAATACAGGTCAAGTTCGAATTTTGTCATGGTTCGATGATTTTTGGCAGAGTTATGCCCCTTTTACTTTGAAAATAATATGAAATTTTGAGTTTCCGTTCATTATCTCCACAATGGTTCAACACATTTAACTCAAATTTGACATATGGATATGTCATTAGAAAATACAGGTCAAGTTCGAATTTTGTCATGGTTCGATGATTTTTGGCAGAGTTATGCCCCTTTTACTTTGAAAATAATATGAAATTTTCGGTTTCCGTTCATTATCTCCCCAACGGTACAACATTTTCAACTCAAATTTGACATGGATATGTCATGAGAAAATACAGGTCAAGTTCGAATTTGGTCATGGTTTGATGATTTTTGGCAGAGTTATGCTCCTTTTACTTTGAAAATAATATGAAATTTTCAGTTTCTGTTTATTATCTCCCCAACAGTACAACACATTCAACTCAAATTTGACATATGGATATGTTTTTGGAATGCCCAGGCCCAGTTCGAATTTGTTCTTTGTTCAATGATTTTTGGCAGAGTAATGCCCCTTTCACTTTGAAATTAATATGAAATTTACAGTTTCTGTTCATTATCTACCCAGCAGTGTTACATATTCAACTCAAATTTGACATATGGATATGTCAAAGGAATGGGCAGGTCAAGTTGGAATTTGGTCATGGTTCGATGATTTTTTTGGCAGAGTTATGTCCCTTTCACTTTGAAAATAATATAGATACATCTTAGGAATAAGCAGTTTAAGTTTGAATTTGGTCGTGGTTCAATGATTTTGGACAAACTTATCTTTCTTGAATATTGGAAAAATTTTGAACTTTCAGTTTCAGCACTCATACTTTTGTGGAAATGTATGTAGCCATTATTTTGGCTACAAATATGAAATATGCTATTTTCAAAAGGTTAAGACTGAATAATTTCAGTGCCTTGAACATTGTATGGAAATGGTTTGTGTTAACATTGAAAAGTTTTAAGGGCTTTGAACTTTAAATGAAAACAATAATTTGTGCAAACAAATTTGGAACTAAATATTATAACATCTGAAATTTTGGCTGCATGCGGGGGCATCCGTGGCATGATGACACATTTCTAGTTTTCATATATACATTATAGCCTTGTATGATTTTTAAATTTTGTTTGTAAAAGTTGATAATTCAACATATTTCTGCATCAGTTTTAATACTTTTGTAATTAATACAATTTGCTCCTTCCTTGATAGTTTTACTGCATTGAGAAGAAAATTAATCATGTAGGCTTAAACAGGAATAATGATAAATCTAACAATATCATGTTTTATAACTTGACGGAAGTCGATTTTCAGGATTACTTGTCTCATTATGTAAGATTTTGAATTAATAAAACTGCCTGCGTTACTTGCATTTAATAAATGAACCTTGTTTAAATACGGCTTTAAAATATCTGGGGGATGATTCCTATATAAATTGAAAGCTTTCTTAAGGCTAAAAAAAAAAATAGATCTTGACTGCACATAAATTTTAAAGAAATTGAGGTTTTAAGAAAATTGAACGTGAACTTTAACCCCCACACCTGTGCTGAATAGTGGTTGAAATGTCTCCGGATTTGATCATGAAGATGGTATGAATCAGCTTTTCATGTAAGGAAGAAAGGACGGAGAGAGAGTTGTCAGACGGTGGTAATTCGTCACCATTATCAAGTGATTATTTGTAGAGCATGCATGCATGTTAATGATATTGTTCAGATTAGGAAAATTATTTTTACTTGATCATGAAAATGAAATGCAGTATGCACTGTTCACCACCTTCTGTTTCTCTAAAAAAAAAGTTGCACGAGATGCAAAATCATCAAATGGACGTCATTCTTCGCCTTTTTAATAGCCTTGATCTGGTGACATCTTTAGCCCATGCATGTATTTTGTTCTCCAGTTGTTTGTTCATGGCATCCTGACTGAAACTTGATACAAAGTTTGAATTTAACATATTTCAACATTGCTTTAAATGATTATACGTAAATAATTAATGTCACCAGTTTGAAACCTTGATTTCTTTTTCTTTGTCTCTTTAAAGAAAAAAAAATATACATTTATATTTATATATTTAGGATAAATGAATAAATGTCCCTAAACAGACCTGACTGACTACTGTCTATACAATTAAGATAATATAAACAGATTAAGCATATAATGTAAACAATAGGTAATGATTGTATAATGCAGTTTGACATTTATTGTTTTAGCCGTTCGTATGTCAAAAACCGAAGTTTTTCTGTCTCATTCTTGTAAATATATAATTATCTGACACTTTTATGGATTGACATAAAGAGACTTATTTAAGAATAAATTGAAATGTCTTAAAAGATCAGACTAAAAGGGTTCGTGTTTCGTTTTGGTAACAATATTCATGTTGTAATATAATTACTGCAATTATACAAGATTATAACCCGCGTGAAACTTTTACAGATCTTTTAACCTTTGAAATTTGAGTGCCGAGACCTAACAGCACGTCTTTAAACTGTTTGCGGTTACCGTATGTTTTTCGAAAGACTGAAACCATTACGTTATAAATATCTGAAAGTCAAATATTATTCTTTGACAAATTCACAATTGGATAAAATTAGGTCTGATCTCATTAGTGCAAATGTTGGCACGATCGCACCTCGAGTATAATATTGTGTTACAAACTTACAATGTATACAAAATAAGTGAAAATATAAGTAATTAAATCTTTCATACTTTCATGAACCTCGTAGAATTTCATAAAAGACCTGAATTACTAACAAGTTTATAAGGTTTTCAATTGACCCTATTAGTCATGTACAGTATAAGCCGGAAATTTTAAAACAATGATATTAATCAGGAACAAGGAATGTTTTGTTAAATTGGTGTCTATTTTTATATGTAGAAATATATATAAAAAAAAATCGGTGTAATGGTTGAAAAAATGTTGTTTCGGAAAAAATACCCATGT